CATCGAGATGGCTGGGCCTTCACCGGGGCGTTCAGGTGGTTCGGTGGTTGTGCACCCTGGGAAGTGAGTATCGAGTAGGATGTGTAGGGACTCCTTGCTTGCAGCCTTGCGGCTTCTGCCGTCTCCTCGATTTCGGTACAGAACTTTTGCCAGGAGGCTCTTTTCACTCTCCTAGTTTCTTGTTTGTATAGGGCAAGGCTGGTCTTGTAGTTTGCCCATAGTTCGTCCTCGATGCTGTTTTTGGCTTCATTAAAATTTGCCCTGCAGCTTCTACGTAGGACATCAATGTTCCTAGACCACCAAGGGGGTTTCTTTTTCCCTCTCGGTTTTATTGAGGGACACGTAGCCTTGATGGCTTTGTTGCATGCCTCCGTGAACCTATTTACAAGACTGTTAAGGTCGTCTTGTGTATCAGGACAGGGTTTTAGAATATATCTCCCAGTTGGCTTTCCTGGGATTGAAATAACTATTAGCTATTGGGCATTCGAGAGATATTATCATCTCTATGTACCTATGGTCGGAGAAGGAGTGCTCTTCTAGGACTCTCCAGCCCTTAATTTAGCCTAGTATGCTATGGGACACTAGGGTAAGGTCTATGACCTCCTGTCGGTTCTTTATAATAAAGGTGGGGTCATTTCCCTGATTGTATATATGCATATGTACTAGAAACTTACAAGTTTTTTGTCCATCCAGAGTAAAATTGGATTGAACTTCTAAGAAGAAGAATCGATCCATCGAGAGGCGAGGTCCGCACCTTTGGTCATTACCAATGCCACAATTGACAATACTCACAACCAGAAAGTAAGAAATGAAATGTGCAATATGCATGTACATAGCTTTGCTCGTGTCACTTGGGTTTTACTGCGATTATTTGAGTGCTACGTTTCATTCACTTACTCGAGTTTGCTTGTCCGGCATTAACCCAAAGAAGGCGTCAAGGTCAAGCGTGACATGACTTCAACTCCAACTACGCTTCCACTCAACAAGAGCACCTGTCGTCACGCCTATGTTCATGCTGGGGTTTTCACTACCCAGAGACTGACATTAACCAAAAAGCCGCTCCATCGACTAAAATATCTTTTGAAATACAGAATCCATGTGTTTAGACTCTGATAACACTACTCCACAAAATCGAACCATCGAACTCCTCAAGGAACCAAACCAACATTTTCTTTTTTAACAATTTTTTAAGGAATTATGGTTTTTAATCTTCAGAACTTTTTCTGAAGAGCTTAAAATAACAGGTATTTTATGTTAATGCTTTTTTAAGAGGTATCGGTTCGTCTTTTCTCATAACTTAAGTTTCTTAGATTTGGTTGTCAGGAACATTGCCATTCTGATCAATATATATACTTTACGGGGTCGAAAACCTTTCCTTCTGTGCGTTATATGATTTACAATACTTATATCCTATTTACTCTTCGAGTACCGGTTATACATACACAAATATGTACATGCATATATATCTTTAAAAACGAGTAGGGACCAGACACATTTTCTATGCCCGGTACTCAGTCAGTAAATATGTATGTTACCCTAGTGTGCCGTAATATACATATTTACATACATATGTATGTACATAAATACATACCTCATAATTTGTTTGAGTTTTATATTTTATTTATTTTTTTTTTTTTCTTCTTTGTTTTCTAAATATACATACATTTATCACGTCTTTTTAGCTCGGGTAAAGGAGGCGGGATAATTTTGAAATACGCTTGTAACAGTGTGATTTCACATCAATCTGGGTGCGTAATTTGGTTACTGTAGATTTTATAGTCTCTGATATCCAGGGGCCCATCAAGACGGACGGACACACACACACACTAGATCGACTCGGCTATTGATGCTAATCCAGAATATATAAACGTTACAGGGTCGGAAAGCTTTCCTTCTGTGCGATACAAACATCCGTTATTCCCCACAAATACAATATATCCTATTTACTAATCAACTACCGTGTATAAAAAGTTGGGTTGGTTCCTTGAGGCGAAATCGTGTCGGTTAGTGGAATTCAATGGATAAATGAGCAAATATGCTTTCTTATCAATTGCGAAGCGACTCTTATTACCTCTTTTTTAAAAGGTGCAATTTGAATTTCGTCTGAAGCATCAAATGCTAATGTGGTTGATATAAACGTATAAATACTAACAATTGAACTGGTTTTCAAGCAACACGCCGGAAAACCCAATTCGGCATTCCCCCTGGTAACCAAACAAGTTGGTTTCAAATAGTCTTATTAGCGCAGCGCGACTCGCGGCATACAGCTTTGCATTGATATGCAATTCAATTAAGCAAAGTTCAGAGGTTGAATCAGTATCACGCATTGTCCATACTTAATTATAAGCTATATTGGATATATTGGAAGATATATTGGAATAATTGTATCATAGAAAAGTTACTGGAAGTAACTTTAGTTAATGTGGTTAATGTTAATAGTTAATGTATTTATTTTCATATAAGTATGCCTTTGAATGTGGCGAACTGTGGTGAACAATTCGGAATTGACCTGGCGCCAAATGAATTTCTCATAAATATTTATTGGACATAAGATTCTTATAACGACGGAAAAGCGCCTGAGTGCATAAAACATGTTGTGCTCGCTGAAGTCTTGTCTTCTTAGATGAGCACAGATATTATCAGTGTGCGTGCTCAAACCAGTCCAACCAACATAAAGTGTGATTGATATGAAACTGATCTATTAGTTTTCAAGCCGCCGCATCTACGCGAATTAGTCGAGACACGACAAAACCTTCCACGAAACTTCTGACGCCGATCCGCGCCAGGTCGCTTAGCGGCGTCGTGGTTGTGGTATCAAAAATATGTTTAAGTCGTCTCTCCTTGACGATGCTTAATTAATTAGTGGTTTCTTTTTGTTTCTTTTTTTCAGATGACGACGTATTATTTTCTCATCTAGTAAAATGAACATTTTTATAATGTGGCCACCATATCCCAAGTGAAGGCGCGTATGAGTAATGCTCAGACATTCCATCATGGCGGTAATTCCAATGGTGGCTGGGGGTAGGTGCTGGTTTTAATTCCTCTCATTATTTACGCACATTAAACCACAGGCGGATGGCTTTGCTAGCAACATTAGGGGTGGCCATTCTGAGTCGTGACTCAGCGTGCTGCATTTATGAATATTGAGAACTCCATACCCTCTTCATGAAAGTACTATTGGCATGTGATCAGGCTCCATGACTTATAAAATTATATAAATATAAACTATAATAAATTAACAACATTTTCCCATCGTTTTAGTTAAGGTAACAGAATCTTAAATAGAAGTTTGTAGGTGTGGGGGGAGGATCCGTAAATTCAAGAATTACGAGTCATTGGTGCTTCACAGTCTTTTAAAATATCAATAAAAAGCATAAGCAAAGCTGCTGGATAGGTGGGGCGGGGCAAAATTTTGAAATACACTTGTAACAGTGCGGTATTACAGAAATCTGGATGCAAAACTTGGCTGCCCATCTCTTATGACTTACGGATGGACAGACAGACATAGCTTTATCGACTCTTCTATTGGTACTAATCAAGAACATACATATATGAACATATGTATGCTTAAAAAAAGACACTTCCTTCTGTGTGTTAAGCACATTGCTCCGACTACAAAAAAAATATACCCTGTTTACTCTTCGAGCACCGGGTATAAAAAGCACAAAATTAAGTTAAAATCGTACTCTGTCACCGTGGGGCATGACCAAAATATATTTTATATCTAATGATATGCACAGAATATACTCGGCTTGATTTCATATGCTTACAAAGATCAATGTCAATATCGAATGTCAACTCCTTGGCATCAGTCCAGTTTGAAGTTGATCATCCACCCACATGTACCCATAGACATAAAAAAATTGCTGGCGATTAATGTAATTTCACAATCCACTGTTCCATTTTTAGTGCTCTTTAATTAACTTTCCCTTTTATACTTTGTGTTCCTCGTATTTTTGTTCAATTGCTTGTGTATTCAAACCCCCCGGCACTGTTACTGCCCTTGTCCAAACGGTTTTTATTTATTGGAAGCTAATAAGCGATGGAATAATGCTGTTTAAAATTATTTAAAATATGGTCCCAAGCGGGGTGCCGGGAGTTCTAATAAAAGGACAATATCCATAGAATACAAAATAACCCATTTAAATCATATAACGCTGATTTCGACTTTGCAGATTTCTCAACAATTTATCAAATTGGTTTTCATTGCATAAAAAAAGTCGCGCCGAGACCATTTTCATTTGTGATAGAGCTATGGATCTCAATACAATTTGTTTGTCAATTTAAATTTAAGCTTGTTCTTGCACCATGAAATTGTTGTCCAATGCAAACTTTCAGTTTCTTTGAAGCTGCCCAACTTTTAAATAAATTTGCCTTTTGCTGACGTGCCGCTTTGGAGCTTTTGCCGCATATTTGCATAGAAATCTCTCACATGCATGTACGTACATATGTACATACATACATATGTTTATGTATGTATACAAATATTTACATATATATTACTTTTTATATTGAGAACACTACCAGACACGATTTGTTTGCTTCGATCCAAACCTACTGTTTCTGAAAGATATGGGGCTCAGAAATGTTTTTATGGTAACTTTTTTTTCTATTCCAGAACTTCTTTATACGAATTTTTAAAATCTTGTATTTATTTTGTAAATTTCATTTTTTTTCTTCTTTCTTTCAGTCATAGAAAAAAACCATGATGCTTTACAAAAATGTAAAGACCTCAGTCTATCAGAAAAACGCGGTTTGGTTCTAAGCGAAACAAAGTTAAATTTTGTCTGGTAGTGTAATTATTAAAATGTTAGGACGCGCTTGTGTGGATATATGTACATACAAACACATAATCAAGCTGGGTAACTTTTTAAATTTATGCTAATTCAGTTCATTTCGACCCGCAGATGAAATTCTCCGATTCTCGTTCTTAAGCTAAGATCCAAATGAATGACACCATAATAACAACACATCGAGTTGAGGAAGACAAACTTATATCGATCAAGACCGTTGTTTCAGACCATCTCTAATGAACACTAGAGCTCGCAGTGAGAGAGTCCATTCTAATTCGGGTAGCATAGTGCATGCCGACACGGTTAATTTATGCTGCGCTGAGCAGCTGAGCTGAGCCGAAATCATATTAATTAATTAAAAATTAATTTCATCTCTTTTGATCAACAAAGTATACCAACAGCACATCTATAAAATTCACATTTAGTTATAATTTGAGAAATATACGAGTAGGAACGTGTGAAACGCTTCTTACGCGTCACAACTTTTATACCCGTTACTCAGTTAGTATCTGTACGTTATGGTTTTTATATCCGGTACTCAAAGAGTAAATAGGGTATATTGTATTTGTACGAATAATGGTTGTATGTAACACACAGAAGGAAGCGTTTCCGACCCCATAAAGTATATATATTCTTGATCAGCATCAATAGCCGAGTCGATAGAGCCATGTCTGTCTGTCCGTCTGTCCGTCCGTCCGTCTGTCCGTATGTCCGTCTTGTTTGTCGGCTAGTTCTCAGAGACTATAAGAGCTAGAGCCACCAAATTTTGGCTCCGGACTGCTGTATGCTCACACTGAAACCAGTGTATTTCAAAAATGAGCCACACCCCCTTCCGCCCCCGCAAAAGGGCGAAAATCTACAGTTTCGAATATAAAAGAAAACTAAACCATTCCGTAGGAAATGGCCATATCTATCAGATCACCAAATTGGGATCGGATCATTATTATAGCCACAATGGAGAAATTAATTTCCAGTGGCTAAACCCACCCTGTCCCGCAGCTTTTGTTGCTCTTTTTACATTCTCTCATTCACACTCTGATTCTGCTTCACTCGGCCCCTGCCTCTTCCCACCCCCTGGCGTTGACTCTTCCGACTTTTAACCAAGACTCGGGTTTTAACGCTCTGTATTAGAAAAAGAGTGACCATCAAAGTTGCGTCGAAAAATTTTTCATAGATGGCGCCACTAAACCTATCGGTCAAAGAATGTACCAATTTTATTGCTGTTTTAAATATCTCATAAATTGGAAAATATTAACTGATCCAATTTGTTTGATGCATTTTATTTAGTAGGCTTTATACTACGTGTTCTGTAATGTGAACGATCCCTAGTGGTTGGCGATGTCTTCTACATCTAGATGTAGTCCTGAGTGCGTATAAAAGTTGTGACGCGTAAGAAGCGTCTCACACGTCCCCTTCTCGTTTTTTCCGAATTTTACATTTGACATTTTAAATATTTTCTACATATGTCATCTACATCTACATCACTTCTTACGCCAACACGGTTTTTATACCCGATACTCGAAGAGCTTTTTATGGTCTCTGAAATCCAGGCGTCCAAGGAAGGACGGACAGACGGACGGACAGACAGACATGGCTCAATCGACTCGTCTATTGATGCTTATTAAGAATATAGATACTTTTTGGGGTCGGAAACGTTTCCATCTGTGCGTTACATACATCCACTTTTGTGCACAAATACAATATACCCTATTTATTATTCGAGTACCGGGTATAAAAATGATCATCACACCATTTCTAAGCCCCATATCTTTCATAAACAGTTGGTTTGGCTCCTTCAGATGAAATCGTGTCGTTTAGTGTTAGTGTTTGGTTCCTTGAGGAAACAAAAGTTCGATTTTGTTGTTTATGTTGTTTATTCCCGTAAGTACGCCCTCACATTTATCCGCTCTCTTGTAGTTCGTTTAAATTTTTTTCAACTTTCCTGAATTTTTAAAAAACAAATTTCGTACAAAATACAATACGCATAAAAATCAACATTTTTTTAATTTCAAAGCTTAAAATGAGCAATAGCTCATCAAAATATATGGAGAGTTTTTATTTGTTTTGAGAATATTTTTTTATATATATTTTTTTAAATATGGAACACGTAGTTGTCTGTTCCGCTAAAACCTAAAAGATCACCCACGAGGAGTCCTAGAAAAACTTTTTGCCATGCGAGGCCTCAACTGAAATGCAACTGTGAGACTGCCCCCCTTCGTAGCAGACTACTTCCAGATCGTGGAGTATTCCATCCTTAGTTAGTCGTAGAAAAATACTTGGTGTTATTTTTATGCACAACTTGATCAAGGGGGATGTAGACAGCTCTGACTTGTTGAGCCGCATAAACTTTACGATTCCCATTAGACCCACTAGAAACATAATTCCTTTGTTCCTTCCACTTTGTAGATCGAATTATGCCTTGCATGAACCCTTTAGGGTCTTATCCTCGTATTATAATTCCTTCCTCTTCTTAAATCACTTATAATGGCATAGTTAGTTTTATTTTATTTTCTCTGTTCGGCGTGTCGGTTGTGCGGGAGGAGGGCCGCGTTCTGCTGGGTTCCGCGCGTAACAGGCGTTGGCTTGGTGTCGCATGAGCCACTTGATGGTGCAGGCATTGCATATTAACGCCCAGACGTTATTCATGCATTCGAACGAAAACGGATTATAGAGATATTATAATTTGATAATCCTATACTCGGTACTCATTTGATCAATTATAAGGAGGTAAATCCCATAAACCCCATTAATGCGGTGCTTTCTTCATGCATTGCTGTTCTCCAAAAGTTTCATATTCACTCTGAAATGTCATGCTCTTACCTGCTCTAATCCAAAATGTAAATTTTTAACGGATTTTATTTTGAAAACACACAAAACGGTGTAAGCAGAGAGCATTCACTTTGCGCTCTTTGGTCATACTGGGCACAGAGCGAAATACATATGTATGTAAGTATATGGTATCATTTAGGTTCGGCCATATGGCGCAGCACTGCAGGAGCGATCCGACACTATTTGATAGATCTTCACCCAACCTTGGGGACCCAGGGGAGTTTCCCCGACCCACCTGGAAAAATGGCACCCTCCCCGAAGTCCAAAACAACAACACAGAGGCAGCTAGGGAAATTCACTCGGTTGCTTCCTTCGCCGAGGTGACCAAAGCCAAAAGAGTGGCAGCCCGCAATTTGGAGTCGGCTAAGGCAGCCGCCAACATGGCAGAATGCAGGAACGCGATCAACGCAGATAGCTCTCAATTGAGTGAGAAATTTGTGAGAACATCGCCCGTGGTTTCGTCTGTGGCCCAGGAAAAGCTTAACGCACTGGGATCCATGCTTACAGCGTTCCTGGTGGAACCCAGCAGTATTTCCAAGGGGGAATTGGTGCAGAAGTTTTTTCAACAGATCGTGGAGTATGTTAACACGTTAACAACATGTTTGCAAATTGTGCAGGGGATGGAAGCGGGATACCCAAACAACAAAAATTCAAAGTCTGACTTACAACAACAACAAACAGCTCCTCAATATGTTTCTAATGAACAACGAAATAGACATTGGAATCCTTTCGGACATCTGGGTTGTAAATAATGCGGACTGCAGTATCTTAGATTACAACTTCATCGGCAAGCCCAGACAACCCGGCTACGGCGGAGTAGTAATCTATATTAGAAAGAAAATTAGATTTAGCATTCTGAAAATAGACAGTGATCTAGAGATCGTAGGTATTAAGACCTTGAACCTCAAAAACAACCTCAACATTTTTAGCGCATACGCTGCGCCTTCAATGACACTTTCCCAATTCAAATCGGGCATTAAAAAGGTGTTCGAGCTTCAGTCGTAGGAGGAGATTTCAACGCCAAGTCTTCCGTCTGGGGAAACCAGTGTGTTTAGTATGGGGGGCTTTCCCCTGGTGTTGCCGCTCTACCTCTTTCAGGCGGTGTGAACCCTTCCTCTAGACTCCATAAGACTCAGCGTAGAGTCCATCTCATGCATCCTCGATCTGGTAGCCGTGGAGTCTGAACAGGTGCAGACACAACCTCTCTACAAACAGGCAATCTACATCTCATTTCAGGCTACGTAACAAAACTTAATAGCAAACTTTTTGATATTTGTTCGAGATGTCCGAACAGTTGGTTTGTTGTGCGACCTGGGGCTCTGGGAAGAACTCAGCCCTGGGATGACTGGCTAGCCGGCCTTGCCCCAACACCAAAACAGGTTCGTAACAATAATGGGTTTCCTTGGGAAACCAACCCTTCCAGTGACCGCAAGAGCCCCAACATCGAGAATGCTACTCGTGAGGGTTTTATCTGTCTTAACGACGGATCTCCAACTTTCTCCAGGAACCCTTCCCAATTCTCTGTTCTTGACCTCACTTTTTCCAATCACAGGAACGGTAGAATTGACTGGCAAGCTCATAAATCCAAAATAACCAACAGCAACCACTTCCCAATCGTCATAACAGCCGAAGGTTTAGATGCCTCCATTCAAGAGAAGAAAGTGCTGCACAATAGAATAAATCGTATTTTAGGAGCAAGCAGTTTTACCAAGTGCAAGAGCTCAACGATAAGGTCAAATCCCTGACCAGTAAGAACACAGTTACCATTCCCAGCAACAACAAGTATATTGCCAAAAAATGGTGGAACGAGGGTATAGAGAGACTATTTCGCGTGAGAAATGCGTGCAGGCAAATATACTATTACACCAAAAAATTGGAGGATGCCAGGGCCACTATAGAGGCCGACCGCAACCTGCAAAATGAGATTAAAAATTGCAGAAGGTCAAACTTCTCAAAGTTCATAGAAGAGGTTTCCTCTTTGCGCTCCATGTGGAGCAGAGTAAAGAATCTAAAGAAATACGGACAAGTCAAAAACGTAGGGAACACATGGACAGACGAAAACGACAATGGCTTTCTAAAAATGGTCAAAGAGATCCCCTCCACTGCAAGCAGTAGACCCCCAGAGAACATTCCACCTCTGATTGGACCAGGCGACCCCGAACCTTTGGACATGGGGGAATTTCTGTCCTTCCTGGAATCCAGGAACCCAAATTAGGCAAGAGGCCCAGATGGCATTTCGTTCAGGATGCTGCAGCAACTTCCTGTGGGGAAAAACATAACATCTTTGAAATTATAAACAGAGTATGGCTCATTGAATCATCCCAGAGGTCTGGCGTAGAATCAAGGTGGTACCAATTCCCAAGAAGAATACGGACCCCGCTTCCTTCCAAAACTACAGACCTATTTGCCTAATAAACACCTTGTTTAAGTCTATAGAGGGGTTGATAAAGTTAAAGCTGGACGAACATAAAGAAGCCACTTCTATAGTGGCTCATAGTTTCCAAGGCCTTTGTCAGAATTAGACTAGAATACGCTTGCTCGTCTTTCAGCAACTTGTCCAAATCCGCTTAGCCAATATCAAATCTCATTGTAACCACCACCTTAGAAAGTCACTAGGCTTAATCATTTGCACCCCAGTCCCGATTATTTACCACATGGCAGGAGAACTTCCCCCGGAATACAGAATGAGATTCCTAGCGGCAAAAGAGTTAGCCAAGGCATTTGCGTACAGCCTCCCAGCGAGTAGGACGGTGTCCCTAAACAGGGACATAAGCACGGGCTACGCCAATGCATTTCGGAAGTTCGGTAATATTTTGAAGAGAATCGAGGTCTTTGAGAGTACAACTTCGCATTGCACAAAAATTAGGTCAGACTTAGACTTTTTTAAGGGGGCTGCTGAGAACAAGCACAGCTTAGACCAGGCGGGCATATTAGTTCTCCATAGGGAAAAAAGGGCACTTCTGACAAGGGGATGCTTCGAGACCTACTACACTGATGGATCAGTAGCTAACAGACACTCTAGTGCAGTTTTCCTACACGACAGCTCAGGTTTCATATACAGCTTTTACACGCACAAAACCTTGTCATCTCTGTCCGCCGAGTTGCTTGCAATTGAAAAGGCCTTGGACCATGATATTTCCGGCCGGTTTTCTCGTATCGTCATCCTAACTGACATCAGAAACAAGGAGCATTCAGGATAATTTTATCGCTTATAAAATCAGGGAGAATATCCGTCAAGCCCAATACCTAAAGAAGGTAGAAATCCATTTTTTACCCGGCCACGCCAACATCACTCAGAACACGGCAGTGACTCAGCAGCCAAAGAAGCACACAGACTGGGAAAATATACAGTCGTTAACTGGAATCTTAAACATGCAATATGTGAGATACACCGAATACTGAAAGAAGAATGGGAGAGAGAGTAAAAACCATGGTTCCTAAATAGAAATAAACTAAAAGCCATTGACACTTAAAGAATCAATAGACTGCTTAGCGGCAGTGCATTTGATAGGCACACACTTGTCAAAATGCACGTAGTCGCAAGTAACATTTGTGATACTTGCGATACTATCGATGACGCATCGCATATAATTTTTAATTGTACCAAGTACAACACAACAAGACTAAACTACCCATCGCTAAGAAAATATAATAATATCTATAAATTCTTCGAAAAAGAACAAATTAGCTCGTACCTAACTTTAATCGAGTTCATCGACAAAATTTGAGTAAAACTGTAACAAGTTACATATCTCGACGTGGCGATTTCCACCTTGTAAAGGCGGGAGGCCAAATAATCCCCCTCTACCCAAGGGTAGAGTATTAACATAAAACCTCAAAAAACAAAAAAAGTATATGGCATTTCTGTCACAAGAAATTTAGATTTTAAATATAATTAAAATGGAGACAAAAATTCCGCTGAAGTGGAAAGAAAAATGACACCGTCCTTTTCTTAGACCTAATAGAGATCGTTAGGCGAAAAAGGAAACAATTACTGTAGATGACTGGGAATATATTGAATTTATTTGCAATTTAAATTTGTTTTGCTAGGATTTGGACTCGAAATTATCCAATTTTGAATATGACACGACCCAGCTACTCCCCCAATCCAATTCAAATTAATTTCTTAATTCGAGCTATAATAATGATCCTATCAAATCCCATTTCGGTGATCTGATAGGGACGCACAGACAGACATGGCTCTATCGACTCGGCTATTGATGCTGATCAACAATATTATAATTTATGGGGTCGGAAACGTTTCCTTCTGTGCGTTACATGCATCCGTTATTCCCCATAAATTCCATATACCCTATTTACTCTTCAACGTAACGCTTCTTTCTGTGTGTAGTTTTCGAATACCGGGTACAAAAATGTTATTAAGAGATTAAGTATGATTTAAAATCCGTTAAAGCATTTTTGAACTTAAAGCTGAGGCGGTAGCTGAGGAGAGAAAAACACCTCCCCCATAAGTTAACGAATAAGCATGTGAAAAATGTAATATTTTCCAACTTTTCCTGAGTTTTTAAAGAGAAAACTGCGTAAAAGTACCTTACAAAAAGAAAAATTTTTGCATTTCAAAGCCTATTATTTTTGAAACGGTAAGCTAAAACCACAAAGTGTTTGGGTATACGTTTCAAATTCATTAATCAGCTTTATAGAATGGCTAGGTTCATTAAAACCAGATGAAAGATACTTAAATTATGTGAAATAAAAAAGCGCTAACTCTAAAAAAGTTTGTGTATATATAAAGCGGGTAGATCCACTAGTTTGAGCCTAGATCGGCATGGTGGTAAGAGTCTTTCAGAGTCCCAGGGTACATTTCTAACGGAGGATATTAACAATTTTTTATGAACGGATTCAATATGAAATGGTTTTGCCTCGTATTGTGGACTCCACACACAAGAAGAATATTCCGGTCGTTCCAATGAGAAATAAAAATAAAATAAAATTGTAGTTATACACGGGTCTTCAAACTCTTTTGATCAACGCTTACAAAACGCTAGGAATCCATAGCTTTGTTACCCAATAAAGCAATACGGCTTTTATAACATAGTTTGTGATCAATAAGGATCCAGAAATGGAGACCAAATGAGGAGGGCGGCGGTGAAAGTTCATAAGTTTACACTTAGAATTGTTCAAGTTGTAGGCAAGTAAGTATGCAAGTAGCAGTCGGAAAAGGGAAACAAATTGTATCGGCATCAGCATACATTAATGTAACTGAGTGCAAAATAAGTTGAGGCAGATCGTTCCCAAACAGATTGAAAAGCAGCGGACCTAAATGACTTTCTTGAGGAACAGCTGAGGTTAAATTCAAGAAATTTGACAAAACATTGGTAAACAAATCACGCAGTATGCGGTTCGATAGACATGATATCCAATTTATGAGATTTGTAGAAAACCCTAATACAGACAGTTTATGGATCAGCAAAGTCTGATTAACAGAGTCGAAAGCTTTGCTGAATTCTGTAAAAATTACGTCTGTTTGCAAGCCCCTTTACAAGCTTCGGTTGTTTGGTTAATTGATGTTGAACGATGTCTAAAAAAAACCATGCTGCATGCATGTTGCAATTGACGAGTTACAAGGTGCTCGAGAAGCTTCGGAATGGCAGAAAGTTTTGCAATATCGCGGTAGTTTTTGATGTAAAATCTGGACCCGTTTTTGTGAAGAGGAACAAGGTAGGATTCATTCCAATTTGGAAACGAGAACGCTCCTGGGATAAATTAAATAGGAAGGTCAAAGGATGAGATAGGTCTTGAGCCCAATATTTTAGGATACAGCTCGGAACTTTATCTGGGTCCGCAGAGAAAAAGATGTCAATTGAAACCTTTCCTTCGACGAAGGGAAGAAATACGTTGTTTGCATGAGGTAGATGGTATGCGTAAGGGTTGGAGGAGTCATAAGGATCCGATAAGTACGTCGATTGAAAGAAGGTGGCAACCAAATTTACAATAACTTGAACTGAAGATTCTGTGTTATCCTGTCAAAGATGGGAAAAAGAAAATGCGTTAGAATTGGAAATCCATTACGGATCATTACGAAAAGTTGTACCACATTGTGAAAGATAGAGGTTATGGTATTTCTTATTGGCAGTAAGAAATTGAGAGTGGACAGAATAATATTAAGCAAAGACAGATAAAGAACTAATTATCGGGTTCTTCTTATAGAGCCGGATTTTTTTATTGTTTAGGTAGGACAGATACTTATAAAACCAGGGCGGGCTTGCAAGAAACACATACGGTTCCTTTATATTTGATGAGGACCAAAGAAAGTACCAATTACTTTCGAGAGATGTAGGCCAAGATCGATAAAATTAGGTTTGCAAAGGCACTTTATTCAACTTTTTAAAGGTTAATACTTGAAAACTCGATAGAAAAAGTAGGATGATA